ATGGCAGCAGAATTGTGCAGTGGGGAAGAACAGGGACCCGTCTGGGAGTTTGGGGAGGCCTCGGATGAGGGTCCTGCATCCAATGCAGAGATGGGGCCGGGACCATCTGGCAGTGGGGTGCTGCCTCTGGAGCCTCCAGAGTCTGGCAGCAGTGAGGCAGAGGAACAAGGGGAGCCTGGTCCCAGTGCTTTGCACAGAGCTGCCAGAAGGCAAAAGCAGCTAAGACAAAAGGGGTGACTCGGGAGTAAGGCTGGGAAGTGATTGCCCCTCCCATAAGGTATGAAGGAAGTACAAAGGTAGAGAAACCTTTGCAGGAAGCAAAGTTGTTCGCTCTAACCTTGAAGCTCTGTGTGGACTCTGTACTTCAATTGTTTTTTTGCAGTTAATTTGGCACTCTAATTACTGGCAGCCATTCAAAGGAGAGAAAGGTGGGTGCTTATCTCGAGGGACTGTTTGGAACTCATTACTGGCTGGGAATGAACATAATTCCCAGCGTTGAAATAAAACAAGAGTTGTTTGGACTAAGTGTGTGCTTCATTACGGTCTTAGGAAGCCTGGGTCAGGACAATGGGGAGGGGAGAACTGCACTTTCAAACTTGCAAGAGTCTGACAATGCAACTTTTCTCAACCTTGGCAACCTTGAAGATGCATGAACTTCAATGCCTAGAAGCCCACCCCCCATACGTTTCGTGGTGCTCCTCTGGTGGAGATTGCTTAGCACCGCCTCTTACCACGTCGTAGTGTCCATGCTGGGCCGCCAAGTGCAAAGGGATCTGTCCCTCGTCTGACGGGATGTTGACCGAGGAGCCGGCCTTCAGCACCAGCTTCATGGGTTCCTTCTTCCCTTGCCAGGCAGCGTAATGCAATGGGCGCATCCCTGCAGGGGAGGCAAACATTCAGCAATGGGGAGAGACAGCAGGACCTTCTGCCGTTTAAACAGAACAGCCGTCCCACAAACCCAGACTACAGACCTATCTGAGAAGGGGAAAATGGCAGTTTTTACGAGCTGTTGCCAGTTACAAAATCAGACGATTAAGCTTCTCCTGCCTGATATTTTCTGTATTTGGGTTTTGGCTCCAATGAGCAGTAGACATCTGCCTGTGGAGCTCTGTCAAATACTCTTGTTACAGGGGTTGCCAACCTTTTGGATCTCAGGGACCAGCAAACTCATAATTTTAAATCCCGCAGGCCACTAATATAAATTTCGACTGACGGTGGCTGCAGGAAAAAACTCTGCAAGAAAATTCCCCACCCCATTTTCCTACTGATCGATTATTCTTTATTTGGGATTGCAGGATACCGTCTCCAGCTCCGTTCTCGGGGTCGGGGGGGAGGAGAGAGGGACTTTTGGCTTCATGCAAGGAAAGCAGCAGAAGTCTTTCTTTCTCTCCCCCAAACTCCACCAGAAATGAGTCTTTGTGAGACTTGTCACACCGGCACAGCCTCTTGGAGCAGGAAGCCTTGCAGGGCCCCAAAGACTCATTTGTGGCGGAGTTTGGGGGAGAGAAAGAAAGACTTTGGCTGCTTTCCTTGCGTGCAGCCAAAAGCAGAAGAAAGAAGCCGAAAGAAGCAGCCCAGTGGCCAGGCCAGGTGCGTGGAGCAAGTGGGGCAGGTTCCCCCCCTTCCCCCCTTTCTCCCTTCCCTTCACCACCTTGTGTTGTTCGCAATGCAAGCAACGCAAGCCTTATGTTCTCACGGGCCACGTGGGTGGCGCAGCCTTGTGTTCCCGCGCAGCCTGGATTAATTGCTTTAGGGGCAACATTTCTCTGCGGACCACCAAAATTTTCTCGTGGACCACCAGTGGTCCCCAGCCCACCAGTTGGTGACCACTGCTTTTGTAGATCTCTCCCCTCAAAAGAAGAAAACACTTTCAACTGACTCTGTCTGGATGTCTTGGCTGAAGGCCATCTCCTTCTTTCTGGGAGAGAACTACAAACTTGGTTGGTGCTCTGGACGCAGGACCCAACCTTTGCCTCCTTTCACCTGCCCCGTCTCTACCAAGGGCTCTCCTGGTTTGCCACCCCACACACATACACACACACGCGGCTTCTATGCTTGCCTTTGTTGTCCTTGATATCCACCGCAGCCTGGGCCTCCAGAAGCAACAGGATGAGTTCCGTGTTGCCGTTAAGGGCGGCGTGATGCAAAGCGGAGAACCTGTATATGACAGAAGCAAAAGTCTGTTGTCACCTGCTCAAACCCGCACTCCTTTAACATCAAACTATCCACTATTGACCTCACCCCATTCCTAAGAGGTCTGGAAGGGGCGTGCATAAGCGCACCATCGTGCCTACCGTCCCTGTCCTTTTGTCTCCATTTATTCGTACCCATTTCCTGTATTCTTACTCATGTTTATACTTATACCTATTGTCTTGTAAGCGATTGACGAATCAAATCAAATCAATAAAATAAATAACAGTCACCAAGGCCACCTTTCCCTTCCCTGGATTCCCTTCACCCTCAAGCTGATCTCATCTTGGGAAGACCTGGAATGCTGGTCACCATCATGTAAATAAGATGTTGAGACTTTGGAAAAAGTGTCGAGAAGAGCAAACAGAATGATTCAAGACCTGGAGACTAAAATACATGAAGAATGGAATCGGATATGGCCGGTCTAGAGAAAAGAAGGACTGGGGTGGGGGGGGACTGCCCCAAAGAAGAGGGGGTCAACCTATTTTCCAAAGCACCAGAAGGCCCCCCCCAAAAGAGAAGAGAATGAATGAATGGAAACAAAAAAAGGAAAGAAGCAACCCAGAACTAAGGAGAATTTTCCTGACATAATAATTAAACAATAGAATGGCTTGTCTTCAGAAATGGTGGGGGCTCCGTTGCTGGAGGTTTTTATTAAGAGACTGGACAGTCACTTATCTGAAACAGTATAGGTTCTCCTGCTTGAGCAGGAGGCTGGACTAGATGGCCTCCAAGGTCCCTTCCAACTCTTATTCTGATCCTCTTTAAGAACCAAGCTTGGATTGCAAAGCTGGGTGTCCAGAGTGGCTCCTGGCCAGACTTCAGAAAAGGTCTTTCTCATGAGTGCCTGGCTGTTAATCTCATTCCACCTGCAGACTTATTTTCTTTTCCCGCTTTTTTTCCTTTTTTCTTTTGGAGGACTTTCCTCTGTCTAATTAAAACACCTGACAGCGTCTTCTTTTTCTTAAAGGCTGCTTTTCTGTTTTAGTCTAACTGGGTTTTTCATTTCTGGAGCTGCTCTTTCTTGCCAGCGTTATTAGTTTTTAATCCTCCGCTGCTTAATGTGCAGCTGGGCACAGAAGCGGGATCTGAAATGAAAACACGCAGAGATATTTTTTGTTTTTTGTTTTAAAAAAAGGGTTCCAGTCTCTACAACAGCGAGCACAATGACTCCGCTGATTTGCCACGAGGACTTCAGGGCACCCTGGGCAGCAACGGTGCAGGGAAGAGGGTGAATGGACCGGCTGGCCCTGCAAGGACCCTCCAGCCAGCCCAGCAATCGACTCAAGGGTTAGTCCACCAAGTCAAGATGGCAGCCCATCATCACGTGACCCAAGCTCCTCCCCTTTTTCAAATACATCTTAGAAGTGACCCCTGCAAAGACTCTCCTCCCTCCCTGCTCCAAACTCCCTCTGGAGCTCCTGCTTCTCTTTCTAACTCCGCTCCCCCTGCCCCCAGCTCCCCCTGCCCACCAATTCCTCTCTCTTTCCTTCTCTTGCCTGCTCCCTTCCTCTTAGCAGCAGCCAGTCTCCCACCTGGCAAATAGAGGAGGGGTCTCCTTCACAGCCAACCTGGAGCCCCTCTTAACAGAGTAACAGAGTTGGGAGGGGCCCTGGAAGTCTTTTAATCCAACCCCCTGTACAACTGGAGACCCCAGGCCATTGCAGACAGGGGGCTGTCCAACCTCTTCTTAAAGATCTCCAGGGATGGAGAACCACAACTCCTGAAGGCAAGACGTTCCACTGACCGATTGTTCTGACGGTTAGGAAATGTATCCGTAATTTCAAGTTCTAGACCTCCTAGAGATCTTTCACGGGAAGTTGCCCAACCCTAATCCTAGGCCTCTCTCTCCTTCTGCAGATGGATTTGAGGGGTTGTGACCCGACGCTGTAGAAGAGGCGTAAGGAAAATATGGATCGAAGCTACCCACAAAAGAGGGATGGATTGGCGAGGATGATGGAATTTGCAGCAGCAGCAGCTCAATTGTTGACTCCCTTGATCAGCGAAAAGACATTATCTGCACTTAGGGGTTGACTGGAAATCCCTTGTAGACCTTTTTGCATGAAACAGGGAAAAATGCAGTGATGAATTGTGGTTTTGATGGTTTAAACAAATGGGTGATAGAAAAATGTGAGCTTTTTTTTCTAATCGTATAGGGTGAGAGAATTTTGTAATTGTGCTCATATTTGCTGCAGAGGAAATAGGAAGCTGCTTCTATTTCTTTTTACTTTTGTTTTTCGTACTTTTTCCTGCCTTCTTTCCTTCCTTCTTCCCTTCTTTTCCTTCCCTCCCTCCCTCCCTTCCTTCCTTCCTTCCCAGCCTCCTTCCTCCTTCTCTCACCCCCTCTTTTAATACTTATTACTTCATTAGCATTTATGTTCTTTATAAAATTGTTAATTAAAATTATATTTTAGAAGAAAGAAAATATAGTTCGGTTGCCGCTGGGAACAAGTCAAATTTTACATCTGAGTTCATTAGCAAAGGAACAGAAAAGGTGCCCACCAGGTCTGGTACAGCAGACCCAGAAATACCAGAGTTGATTCAGCCTTTGTAAGCAGAGGAGACACCCCAAATCCACTGGGCAAACTGCTGTTCTGTTCTTTGGGGGTGGCCAGGAACGTGGCAGGGAGCCAAGCCTCCTGATCTCAAAGCAAGGCCAGCAGAAAGGCACATCCCTCCAAATACAGAAACTCCCTGGGGACGGGTGAGTGGTGGGGGGAAACCCACCCTTGCAGACTGTGAAGAGTTTGGGGTCGCTTGCAACACACCAACTCTGCACTGTAAGCGGTTGCATGTGAATGCTGGGGGAGGGTGCCCAAGTGGTGCCAATCCGGAATAGCCTCCATTTTTAATAGGACAAACACACACCCTGCTGCCTTCTAAGGTCTCTGCTGCCTTCTTTGTGGTAAGGATGGCCAGAAGGGGGTTACAAAATGATTGATCCAATCAGAGGTGGGTGTTCAGCTGGTTCTGACCAGTTCTGGAGAACTGGTAGCAGAAATTTTTGAGTAGTTTGGAGAACCGGCCAATCCCACCTCTGACTGGCCCCACCAACCCCATCTGTTCTGTGCCTCCCATCGAGTCCCAGCTGATCGGCTGGATCCTCTTTGGCTGCCCTGCAGAGGAGAAGGGAGCTGGAAAGCAGGTTAGTGGAGTGGGGAAGGAAAGGAGATTTTGTAGTATCCTTCCCCTGTCATGCTCACCAAGCCATGCCCACCAAGCCACGCCCACAGAAACGGTAGTAAAAAAAAAACTGAATCCCACCACTGGATCCAATCCTTCAAAACAGCTGCAAACACACAATCTACTAAGATCAGCTTTAACCTTATTCTGCACAGTCTATTTTAGGAGCCACGTTCAGCCTGCGGTGGGAACCCAGCCGGAGGGGGTGAAGGAGTCAAAGACACCAGAAACAGCAGTTCTCTGGGGAAGAGAGGCTTCTGCCTATATAGAGAGAGATATTTGTTTTCTTAAGTTTTCATGGGTATTTATATGTATGGTATTCAGCTTTGTTTGGGTATTTTCCCAAGTCATTATAGTTGTGCTTTTAAAGTTGCTGAAATGTCGCTACAACTTTAAAAGCACAACTATAATGATGTGGGAAAATACCCGAACAAAGCTGAATGCCATACATACATACATACAATGTGTGTGTGTGTGTGTGTCTATTGTTGTTTATATATATATATTGTTGTTTGGGGTGCTGTATATATAATATATATATATTGTCTGATGGAGACAAAAGTGGGCCATGTATCCGATTAATAAATAGACAAAGACACATCAGGAAGCAAACAGCCAGCCAAAAATGGAATCAGAAAAGGAAATTGCAATGTAATTATAACCTGGGAGGAAGATCTGTTTGTTCCACAGTTGCCTGTATGACCTCCCTCTAATCCAGATCAGCTTCTGTTCTGCTAGCCTGGGTCCTCAGCCATTGGCAAAACAAGGAAGTCAGATCAAATTTAGTTTGCTTCTGGTGGAGAACATTCTTGCTTCGGTCCATTTATTATTTATTGTCTTGCTTTAATTGTTTATCTGGTCTTTGGGGGTATCCACAGGGTGTGGTCCAGTGGTGGGATTCAAACATTTTTACTACCTGTTCTCTGGGCGTGGCTTGGTAGGCGTGGCTTGGTGGGCGTGGCAGTGGAAGGATACTGAAAAATCCCCATTCTCTCCCCTTCCCACTAACCTGCTTTCCAGCTCCGTTCTCCTGTGCAGGGCAACCAAAGAAGAGCCAGCCGATCAGCCGGGACTCAATGGGAGGCGGAGAAGAGATGGGGTTGGTGGGGCCAGTCAGAGGCGGGATTGGCCGATTCTCTGAACTACTCAAAATTTCCTCTACTGGTTCTCCAGAACTGGTCAGAACCTGCTGAATCCCACCTCTGACCCAGCCCTCTTCCCATCCCCTGACCAGCAGCCAAGGTGAGCTAACGGCACCTTTTTCTGGAGTGGCCAGTCCCACCTGCTCCTGACCCCACATGGCTGGAGACAGGAGTCTGTTGGCTTCCTCAGGGACTGACCGTTGCCCCCCCCCCCCACAAGCGGAGGCCCTGCAAGGGTGTCTCAGCAACCAGGTCAGTGGGTCAACACGGGGCTCTGGCTGAAACCGCAGGAATCTCCTTCATCAGGGTCTGGACTCCCCCCTCTCTCCTTAACCATCCCTGCCAACGGGCGATCTCCCCCCCCCCCCCACACACACAACCAGGGCAAGTTAGCCCCTCCCTGTTCAGCAGGTCTTCCGTTCGGCCAGGGTCAGCCCCACAAGTGGATGTTTGGCCGTCTCGGGGGATTTAGGAGGAGGAGGGAGGGAGGGAGGGCGAGTTGTGCCCCCTCACTTCCCACCTCTCCTGGGTGGTCTCTCGAAGGACAGGCGCTTCCCTGCTCTCCTGGGGCCTCTTTCGTTCCAGACTGGTGCAGGCTGCAGGTTCAGGCACTGCGAGGGATCCTCACGGACGTTAGGAGGCAGCGATTCAGTGGGGGGGCAGTTTTGCTGCTGAAAGACCCTGTGCTGGCGTCTCCCCTGCTCTCCCTCCCTCCCTCCCTCCCTCCCTCCATCCATATGTCATTCCCTTTCCCTTCCCTTTCCTTCTTTCTTTTTCTTTCTTTCTTTCTCCCTTCCTTCCCTCCCTCCCTCTTTCTTTCTTTCTCTTTCTTTCCTTCCTTCCTTCCCTCCCTTTCTTTCTCCAATCGCTCCCTCTTTCTTTCTTTCTTTCTTTCTTTCTTTCTTTCTTTCTTTCTTTCTTTCTTTCTTTCTTTCTTTCTTTCTTTTTTTCTTTCTCTTTCTTTCTTTTTCTTTCTTTCTTTTTCTCCCTTCCTTCCCTTTCTTTCTCAAATTGCTCCCTCCCTCTTTCTTTCTTCCTTCCTTTCTTTTTCTTTCTTTCTTTCTCCCTTCCTTCCCTTTCTTTCTCCAACTGCTCTTTCTTTCTTTCTTTTTTTCTTTCTTTCTTTCTCCCTTCCTTCCCTTTCTTTCTCCAATTGCTCCCTCTTTCTTTCTTTCTCTCTCTCTCTTTCTTTTTCTTTATTTCTCCCTTTCCTCCCTCCCTCCCTCTCTTTCTTTCTTTCTTTCTTTCTTTCTTTCTTTCTTTCTCTTTCCTTCCTTCCTTCCTTTCTTCCCTCTTTCTTTCTTTTTATCTTTTTCTTTCTCTTCCTTTCTTTCTTTCTTTCTTTCTTTCTTTCCTTCCTTCCTTCCTTCCTTCCTTCCTTCCTTCCTTCCTTCCTTCTTCACTCTTTCTTTCTCCAATCACTCCCTCTTTCTATCTTTCTATCTTTCTCTCTTTCTTTCTTTTCTTTTTCTCCCTTCCTTCCCTTTCTTTCTCCAATTGCTCCCTCCCTCTTTGTTTCTTTGTTCCTTCCTTCCTTCCTTTCTTTTCTCCCTTCCTTCCCTTTCTTTCTCCAATTGCTCTTTCTTTCTTTCTTTCTTTCTTTCTTTCTTTCTTTCTTTCTTTCTTTCTTTCTTTCTTTCTTTCTTTCTTTCCTTTTTTTCTTTGCACCCTAAGAAGCCTCCCTGGAGCCTTAGGAGAGGCAAAACAGGACACCGGGGGTGGGGCTGGGGGTGGGAGCGTGCCACACACCCCTGTGCCCCATTTTGGGCCTAAGAGGCCTCCCTGCAATTACCTGGGAGGCAGAAGCTGGCACATGGAGAAAAAGAGGAAGGGGAAAGAAGGAGAAGCAAGGATTGGGAGAGGGGACTCATGTACACCACCCAGAAAACGTCTCAAGATCTTTACTGAGGATGCACACCTTCGGCCTTTCCATGGGGCCCTGGACTCCACTCTTTAGAAATATCAATTTTGTCAGCAGTTGAAAAGGCAAAAGAAGCCAGGATCCACCAAGAGATGGAAGGGACGGAAGGTAAAGGAAGAGAAAAATCCCCACACAAGATGCTTGGAAGACTCCCCCCCAGGAGAAAGCAGGATATTCTACGTCAGTGGTGGCTAACCTTCTGGGCCTCCCGTGCCGAAGGCAATCTGCCCCGCCCCCCTGCCCATGCGCACGCAACACTCCCCACGCCCCCTTACCTGCACTGTGCATGTGTGTGTGCCTGCCAACCGATTTTCAGCCTGTTTGAGGCCTTTTTCAGCCTCCCAGAGGCTCGAGGGAAGCCTCTGTAGCCTCAGGAGACCGAAAAACGGGCCTTCCGGAAATACCAGAAGTGCCTAAACAGACCCGTTTTTCAGCCTCCTGAGGCTGCAGAGGCTTCCCTCGAGCCTCCGGGAAGGCGAAAATGGCTTTAAATGGGCTGAAAATCAGCTGGGAGGTGCACACATGCAAAGTGCAGGTAAGTTTGGCTGGTTCTCGCACACATGGCTCTGCGTGCCACCTGTGGCACACCTGCTGTAGGTTTGCCATCACGGTTCTCCGGAGTCCTCTGGGATAAGAGGCCACCCCACCAACCCCAGGGAGGCTCATGGACAGCCAAGGCTTTGCCAACTCACCCATCTGTGTCCTGGAAGTTCACGTTCACCCGTTTGGTCGATCCGAGGAGCTCTGTGGGGGGAGGAGAGAGAAGAGAGGAGGGTTAGAGGAAGGGGAGCCTTTTTCCCTGGGAATCTCTCCAGGCACTCCTGGAAGTGCCTCAGCTGCCCCCAAATACCCACTTTGGGAATAATCAGTCTGCGTTTCCATCACGGCGGCTCATTATGAAGCCGGCTTCCTTCCGGAATAAAGCCAGCCGGCCTCCCGGATGGTCCTTGAGAAGCTTTTAAGGAAGAAGCTTTCTCAGAGAGTCTTTGGAGAATGCCTGCCAGGAGCAGGAGGTCTATTTTTATTATCCAGTCCTGGTTTTGTCCGGGTGTATTATTCTCGGGGTGTTTTCATGCTATGCTATTCATCACTGTGCATTGTGAGGATATTCAGCAACCTAGCCGATTTGGTAAGTCAGTAAATGGATGCATACTGAGTCGGGTTTTCGCTCGGTTGCGCCTGAAGGATCCAGCAAAATGGGTGTTTGGATTGGTTGTAAAACTGACCAGTCCATCCACAATTCCCCTGCTGCTTACACATGGCTTACATGTAGAATGCCCTACTTGCAGGCTACTTCTGCTGATCACTGGCTGCCTGCAATTTGGCAGTTTGAATCTCACCAGGTTCAGGGTTGACTCAGACTTCCATCCTTCTGAGGTCAGTACAATGAGGACCCAGATTGTTGGGGGCAAGAGGTTGACTCTGTAAACCACTTACAGTAAAGCACAATGAAGCGGTATATAAGTCTAAGTGCTGTTGCTATTGGTACTGGAGCCAGGTGGGGACAGGGCCCAGTACCTCTGGCCCTTTTGCACAAGGGACCCCTTAGTAAAGGCATAAGAAACAGGCATGAAAGAGAATACCTGCACCTACCCTCTCACCCACACTCACACACACACACCCACGTTAAGAATTTGCAGTTTACTTTCCCATTCTCACAGCCCATCTGCTGGCTACTAACACAACCCAAGCGTTTGTTCATCCAGGCACTCTTTTCAGATGGAAGTGGTGGGTAGAAGAAAGACAGTGCTTTAAATGGCTAGACCCCCCGGGAGAGGATGATGGGCTTTGCAAACTGAGGAGGCTGTGGAAGGATTGGAAAGCACGCATTTCTGGCACCCCATTTCGCTCTAGAGCTTCTTGAATCGGTGTTGACCAATTTGTGCCTTTAGATTCCCCCTGGTCTCCCTCCGCTGAGGATCTCACTCTGGAGAAACATGTCAGACTAACGTGGCCAAAGGTTTTGGCCCTTAAATGTATCCCCCCACTCGAACCTGGAGGAGAAATAACCAGCCTGCCAGTCTCCCCTCCTCACTTTTGCCCAGGTTCCCCCAGATCCATTCTTGTCCCACTTCTGCGTGAACCTCGACATTTTTAAAGTCATGGGCACAAAAAGTCATATTGTGCATACATGTGTCTGTCTTCGAACTATTTGGTCTCAAAACATAGGAATGGAATGGAATGGAATGGAATGGAATGGAATAGAATAGAATAGAATAGAATAGAATAGAATAGAATAGAATAGAATAGAATAGAATAGAATATAGAGAATAGAGAGTAGAGAGTAGAGAATAGAATAGAATAGAATAGAATAGAATAGAATAGAATAGAATAGGGGAAGGGAAGAGGAGAGGAGAGGAGAGGAGGGGAGGAGAGAAGAAGAGAAGAGAAGAGAAGAGAAGAGAAGAGAAGAGAAGAGAAGAGAACGAATGGGAATAGAGTAGAGTAGAGTAGAGTAGAGTAGAGTAGAATAGAATAGAATAGAATAGAATAGAATAGAATAGAATAGAATA